TCTGGAACCAGGGCGGTATGAAATAAAAAAATTAAACCTTGAGAAAAATAGGGACCAGCGTGCTTGTCTGGCTGACAGTCTCTTAGCAGATTGGATACATTCCAGATTTTTGTGATCTGTGAGGACAGTAATTGGATGGGTGGCTCCCTCCAAGAGATGTCTCCATTCGGTGAAGGCAGCTTTTATAGCCAAAAGTTCTTTATTCCCTATGTCATAATTTCTTTCTGCTGGTAACATCTGGCGGGAATAGAAGGCACATGGATGTAACAACATCTTAGGTCCAGTCCTTTGAGACAGTATAGCCCCAACAGCTGAATCAGAAGCATCTACCTCTACAGTAAATGGCAATTCTGGCTGAGGATGTACCAAGATAGGGGCAGATGTAAACAGAGTCTTTAATCTGGAAAATGCAGTGTCAGCCTTATTGGACCACTGAAAAGGAGTCCCTTTACGTGTAAGTTCAGTGATCGGTGTAATAACGGCAGAGAAATTCTTAATGAAACGCCTGTAAAAATTGGCAAACCCCACAAATCTCTGTATATCTTTTTCATTCTTGGGGATGGGCCAGTCCAGCACAGCTTTAATTTTACTTGCGTCCATACTTAAACCTTTAGGAGTTATTACATACCCCAGGAACTGAATTTCTGTTTGTTCAAACTCACATTTTTCCAGTTTAATGTATAGGTGGTGGGTACGAAGGCGCTCAAGAACAATGCAGACCTGTTTTCTGTGATTTTCAAGATTATCAGAAAATATCAGGATATCATCCAAATATGCCACAACAAACTGATCCAGGAGATCCCGTAGTACATCATTGATTAGATGCTGAAAAGTTGCAGGGGCATTACAAAGCCCAAATGGCATTACTAGATATTCGTAATGTCCGTACCTGGTTCTGAAAGCTGTTTTCCATTCATCATTTGGTCTTATGCGAACCAGATTATATGCCCCCCGTAGATCAAGCTTCGTAAATATTTTAGCTGAACGAAGTCTCTCCAGAAGTTCAGGAATGAGAGGCAAGGGATAACGGTTTTTAACAGTGATTTTATTAATGTCCCTGTAATCGACACATGGCCGTAGACTGCCATCTTTCTTTTCTACAAAGAATATAGGAGCTCCTGCTGGAGAAGTGGATGGTCGAATAAAGCCTTTGGCAAGATTTTCTTGTATGTATTCACGAAGTGCTTTCAATTCAGGCTCAGAAAGGGAGTATATACGGCCAAATGGGATAGCAGCTCCAGGTAGCAGCTCTATGGGGCAATCATAAGGCCTGTGAGGTGGAAGCTGATCAGCATTCTTCTTATCACAGACATCTGCAAAATCCCGATATTGTAGCGGAAGCTTAGTTAAGTTTGTAGTAACCATTTCATTAATTGTTGTGGTAACAGGTGTCGCCTTAGAGGGTTGACAATTCATTAAGCAGTGTTCTGAAGGAAAGGACAAAGTTCTAGTCTTCCAATCAATCTGTGGGTTATGCAGAGCAAGCCAGGGTATACCCAAAATCACTGGAAACTGTGTTGAGGAAATTAGGTGGAAAGATATAGACTCATGGTGATTCACTTCCAGAATCAATTTTAAGGGCACAGTCTCATGTGTAACCGGGCCTGACGTAAGTGGAGAACCGTCTACTGTTTCCATTAACACAGGTGAAGATTTAGGGATAGACTGAATTTTATTTCCTGCTGCAAATTTAATGTCCATAAAGTTTCCGCCTGCTCCGGAATCTATCATAGCTGTAGTTGAAATTTTATTATCACCATATTGCAAAGTGATAGGCACCACCAAATGAGGATGTTGAGTCATCATACCTTCTTCACCCTGAGCCAGAGAAAACAAGGGTTGTGTGACAGAATCCAGTTCGTCTGAAATCTGGGATTGATGTTGAATCTGTGCACCCTCAGCAGTCATAGCTATTGTTCTTTTAGACTTGTTAGGGCAATTGATGGCATAATGCCCTGCACTACCACAATACAGGCATAAGTTGTGAGTGCGTCGCCACTGTTTTTCTTCATTGGATAATGGCCCTCTTATTAGATCTACCTGCATAGCCTCAGGTTCAGAGTCTGTAGGTGTTTGTGGGGTCGGAGTAGAAATTCTTGAATAGAAAGTAGGAGTAGCACTTGGTTTAAAAGAGCCCTGTCTTTCCAATCTTCTTTCTGAAAGTCTCCGATCAATACGGATAGCCAACCGCACAAATGCATCAAACTCAACAGGAAGATCAACACGAGCTAGCTCATCTTTTATAGCTTCTGAGAGACCCCTTCTGAAGTGGAACCTCTGGGCTGATTGGTTCCAAGTAGTATCAGTAACCCACTGTCTGAATTCAGCAGCATATTCAGCCACAGAGCGCCTCCCTTGATGTAAATGAAGGAGAGTGGCTTCTGCTGTAGCACAGTGATTGGGATCATCAAAAACTAGGCACATGGCCTCAAGAAAGTCTTTTAAATTTCCCAAGATTGGACTGTCCTGTTCCAGAAAAGGGGAGCCCCAGGCCAGGGCTTCATCTTTGAAGAGGGAAAAAATAAATCCCACCTTCTCTCTTTCAGATGGAAAACGGTTAGGTAACATCATGAAATGCAAACGGCATTGATTTAGGAAACCCCTGAATTTTTTGCGGTCTCCTCCAAATTTTTCTGGTAGAGGCAAGCGGGCATCTTGTGCAGGTGTAACAGTAGTAGTAGCAGCAGCCGCAACATCATGTGCCCTGTAGCTGGTAAGCTCACTATGCATTGATCGAACTTCATTTTGCAGTTCAGCTACCTGATCCTGCAGCACTTGAATGGTCTGTGCCTGGGTCTGCATAGTTCTTGCATTAAAAGCAACCTGCTGGGCCAATGCAGAATCTGATCCGACGGTCTCCATGAATGGGCCAGATTATTCTGTAATGATATTGATGTTACAAAGTTTTGGAGTCCAGTAGCCAGATCAGCAATGTTTTCTGCCAGAGGTAGCCACTCGTTACCCAGGTGGTTGAGCCCCTGAGCCTTGAGTGGCCTTCTGGTCTTAAGCAGAGATGGGAGACTGGAACAGAAAGATGATAATCGTAGTGAGGCAAGCCGAGGTCAGTGGGAAGGAGAAGCAACAAAGTCAAAACAGTCCAAATTCAGCAACAGGAAGGAGAAACAGGAACACGCTTGATTAGAGAGTACAGGAACCACAATAATCAGGCAAAGGTACAGAGACAGGAAGTGGCTTTTATAGGCCAAGAACCAGACACCTGACCAGACACAGCTGAAGTCCAGTTTACAATAATATAGGCTCTTGAAAATGTGAGTAAACCATTTATCAACCTCACCTAATCTAAATTGCACAAGTGTTCTACAATCTGCACTATATAATATATTTGTATTTTTCATATTTGTATGTGACATATACAATCCAATCAAGATTCTGAGAAGTAATTCCTCAACATTTATAGCGCTCCACTTGAGGTATATATTAATTATATACCGTACTCTTTCTTTTTTTTAAAATAAATAAGTGGTACTTGGTGCCAGAAAAACTCTCTAAAATATACAAATATAGGCAAAATAAGTGTTGGAGGTGTGAAACAGGAAAAGAGGACTACCTCCATATCTGGTGGCAGTGTGAGCCTTTAAAAAAATGCATGGATGAATGTCAAAGAGCAGATACATATATCATGTGAAGTAAATATGCCTTTCACCCCACAGAGTTTTCTTTTACATCAGGACTGGCCTAGCATGTCTACTGAAAAAAAGCATGATGATAACACATATTCTGGTGGCCTCAAAGATGGTATAAGCGAGAAATTGGAAAAGTAATAAGACACCAGAATGGAGCTAAATAAAAATTCAAACGATATATCAATGTAAAATGGAATTAGGTATTACCAAAAATAATTCCTATGGATTGACAAAAGTCAATAAATGGATAAGAATCTTGGATAGGCTTCAAGTTGAAAAAAGCTAAATATAGAGGGCTTATGGAGTAGCTCATTATAAGAAGGAGTGGAGAGAAAGTGGATAGAGATGATCCATTAGAGAAGAGAATGTTTATTGTCTAGAGGGAAGAAAAGAGATAGCAATAGGAATGGTCAGAAAGGTATGGAATATGGAGAGATCGAAGGGGAGGTAAAGACCAAAAGGGATATAAATTAACTGACCTCGAAGGTGGATGTATTTATGTGAATTACCCTGTTTGTATTTTTATGTATATGAATATAAGAAACTTGGAAAAAAAAACAAAAAAAACAATACTCCTCAGTGACATTAGACTGTCAGGTTACCTAACCTAGCTCCGCGCCCTCGTCTGGTCCTCATAGACGAGGATTGGGGACATAATGTCCATGCGCGGCAAGTTCCACACCCTCTTCCAAGCTTCCACATAGGAAAGCATTGTTGTCGATGCTTTGCTATGAGCGTCCGTGTCATGTGACCGAGTTTTTGTTGGGAAGACAGCCCTTAGAGGTTGATTTAACAAAATTTGTAGTTTTTTAAAAAAGGTGCAATGTTTTACATTGCAGGGTGAAAAGGACAGGGACACTGCACCCAGACCGCTTCATTGAGATGAAGTGGGTTGGGTAACTATTGAGTTCGTTTAAGGATACAGAGCTTAGTCAGCAACCCTGAGTGTGTCTAGACATTAGAGAGTTCATGTGTTACTGGAAATTGTGTTTTGTTTTGTTACATAGAATGAGACACTCTCCACCTGATCCATATCTCCGACACTTAGCTGATACCACAGGCATCTGGTTTGTCCATGCAAATAGCGTAGCTTAAATGATGTGAGCCAATTATAGGTAATAAATAATACAGGATCCATAAGCAGCTTTTAGCGAATTGTACAAACGTGGCTGTTAATGAGGAGTTTTATTGACTCTCATTGAAATGATGTAATCTGCCAGTCTATTAGAAAAGAGCTGTATACGAAGATTGATCGGAACTCAGGCTGCAGATAAAAAGGACTGCCAATCATTCGGAAGAGCTCTGTTAATTTGCAAACGAAATCTGAAACACAAAAAGCAAATTATTCTGCCATGAGATGAATCAAGGGAACGAATAATGGAACATGGCAGGAAAGGAAGCTTTCTCTACATGAACACGGACAGATCATATGTCCGATAGTGAATTGTACAGAGCAGCATTAGCGTCTCGTGTACCTACAGAGACAGAAATAACTGGGAAGTCACCAACTGCCTTCCCAGTGATTCATTTAAGGTAAGACTTCATCCTGTAAGAAAATGTTTTTTAAAATTTGGTATTTTTTTTTCTCATTCATTTTTGTTTTTTTAATTGCATGCTTAATTTACCATTAACTTTTTGGATAGTTTTTCTTGCAAAATAAAATCTAGTCAATGCTGATACTTCCTATATTAAAGTAATACTATAGGCAGCAAAACAACTTTAGATTAATGAAGCAGTTTTGGTGTATAGATCATGCCCTTACAGTCTAACAGCTCAGTTCTCTGCCATTTAGAAGTTAAATCACTTTTGTTTCTGTCCATGCAGCCCAAGCCAAACTTCCCATGGATGTCACTCACATGGCCTGCATGAATAAAAATGGTTTCTCTTTCGGTCAGATGCTAACTTGTTTTAGAAGTTCTCATCTCCAGCTCTGTAAATTGAACTTTGATCACACACTGAAGGCTCTTGCATTGTCTACAATGCTTTTAACAAAAAAAAGAGATAAACAATTCTAAATTAATCAGAATTTGCAATAAAGGAAGTTGGAACAGATCTCTCTTTACAGGAAGTGTTTAGCAATTCTGTGCAAGTCACATACATGGAGGTGTGACTAGGGCTGCATAAACAAAGTGATTTAACTCCTTATTGGCTGAGAATTAAGCAGTGACACTGCATGGGCATGTTCTGTACACGAAAACCACTCCATTAAGCTAAAGCTGTTTTGGTGCCTATAGTGTCCCTTTAAGGTATTCTGGTGATCATGCTGTTCCTGACAGTGTAATGATATTATCATAATGATTTATGTCATAAAATAAAGCATAATAAGGTTAATGCTTTAGAGGCACCACTAGGGGCAGTGTGTGGGATCCCTTAAGCCACATGCTTCTGGCAGTGACATCACGGGCCTGCCTACTTAGGAATACACTGAATAAAAACCAGATGTAGGAAGGATTCACACTCTCTTTTGCTTTGCCCTTGACTGGCTAAGAATGTAGCAGCTGACTGTTTAGCCCCAGCCCAGGAGGCTGGGGCCTGTGTAAGCTTGTACATGTTTTTGTAATGTACCATGTGATTCCATTGTAACATTTAGCAACTGTTATAGCCTTTTGTAAGTAATATGTTGTAGTTTTGTATTGTATATTTATTTTAGTAAATTGACATTCTGCTAGCATTGTTTACTCATTATAATTATATTAAATATAGATTTAATATTGCAACATTTTGTGTATTTTCTATTCACATATTCGACCATAATACCAAGAACTATAAAAAATATTAACGTTGTTACTTATTGCTTAATTATTATATGATAATTTAAAAAAGTTTTATTCATCTTTAGGTCACGGCCACAACTGACAGAAAATACCAAAAAGTGGCATTATTGAAGTTTTTTTGTACTTTTACCTTTTCTGAGAGTTCATATTGCTGTTGTTTAAAAACTTAAGGCCTACATTACAATATGGAACTGGAAACAAATCAGTATTTTGTGACAGTTATCCAATTGATCACAAATCAATCCAAACTTCACAAAACAAATTTGTGGCAGAAATACAGCTGTAGTCAGAAAATGTTAGTCTTTAGACGAATTGTGATTTTATTACTAATGTCGCAAAGTTAGTTTGAGAGTAGACTTGTGTACAGTGGAAAAATCCGCTGCGGTTGAATCATTACGTCTGAATTTTTATTTTAGTTCGGTTTGTCCAATAGTTGTCCATACTGAAATATTCAGGAAAAAGATTCGGACAAACCAAAAAGGCACGAAAATAGGCCAATCCGTGTATTGCAAAATTAATCAATATAATGTATATATTTTCCAGTACATTTACCTGCCATTTGGATCACAGAGAGGTGAATAAAAGTAACCACTAGAGTTACACAGATAAGGAACCGAAAACAAAAATCTCTATTCACATAGTTATGAAATATATAATAGATAAATATATATCTTTTTACTACTACCTCTTTTCCCCCTCTATTTTTCACTACTCACTTGATCTATGAATAAAATGAACATTTAGTGATGGCATCAAGACACAAATCAAAACACAAATCAAACGAACATGCTTGTCGATTGTGTGTCATTGTTTTCTTATACGTTCATATGGAGCTTCGGACGGCCCACCGATCGTTCTATATTTTGTTGAATTCAAGCTTGTTTGAATTTGAGTGTGTGTGAGGGGGGGAAATATGTGTGTATGAGGGGTGCAGTGTGCATGTGTGTGTGAGGGGTGCAGTGTGTGTACGGGGGTGCATTGTGTGTGTGAAGGATATAGTGTGTGTGTGTGTGAGGGGTGCAGTGTGTGTGTATGTGGGGCAGTTTGTGCGTGAGGGGTACAGTGTCTGTGTGAGCGGTACAGTGTGTGGGGGGGCAGGTTGTGTGAGTGGTACAATGTGTGTGTGTGTGGGCAGTGTGTTTGTATGGGGGGCAGTGTGCATGTATGGGGACGTGTGCGAGGGTTACAGTTTGTGTGTATGGAGGGGCAGTGTGTGTGTATGTGAGGGTAGTGTGTGTGTATGGGGGCAGTGTGTGTGTGTATGGGAGTAGTGTGTGTGTATGGGGGCTAGTGTGTGTGAGGGATACAGTGTGTGTGAGAGCCAGTTTGCCAGCCTCTTCTTCTGGGGGGCCAGGAGCTAGCCACCTCAGGGCCCCCCGAGGCTGGCAGTGGTGTCACTGGGTGCACGGGCGCGCGCGCAAGGGAGCATTCTCCCCTGAGCGCTCTCTGCTACCTCGCGCACACCGCACTGATGCCGGAGCCGAAATATTACGTCATTCTGGCTCCGGCATCAGTAAGCGGCGTACGAGGGAGCTGGGCAGGAGGATCAGTGCTCCCTCGCCGCCTGCAGGACCAGTCGCCCAGCAGCCCCACTGCACCCCAGGGAAATCTGGAATCCCCTCAGCACTTCCAAAGGTAGGGAGGCTGGGGGATTAAATAGAAACATAAATGTGAGTGTGTATGTGTGTTAGTGTGTGTCAGTGAGTGTGTTACTGTGTGTGTCTGTTACTGAGTGTGTTAGTTTGTGTGTGTCTGTTATTGAGTTTGTGTGTTACTGTGTGTGTCTTTTACTGAGTGTGTTAGTTGTGTGTTAGTTTGTGTGTGTCTACTAGTGAGTGTCAGTGTGTGTGTGTTAGTTTGTGTGTCAGTGTGTGTGTCAGTGAGTGTGTTACTGTGTGTGTCTGTTGCTGAGTGTGTTAGTTTGTGTGTGTCTGTTAGTGAGTCTGTTTGGTGTATGTTAGTCAGTGTGTGTTTGTCAGTGAGAGTGTTTGTTTTGCAAGTGAGTGTGTATGTGTGTCTGTCAGTGAGTGTGTGTCTGTCAGTAAATGTGTGTCTGTTAGCTAGTGTGTATGCTTCTGTTCGTGAATGTGTGTGTTTAAAACCCCTTCAGCACATACCTTTCTCCAGTGCCCTTGGTGCAGGGGATCTCTCGCGCATGCAAACTGCCCATAGGAAAGCATTACTCAATGCTTTCCTATAGACATCCAGCGTCTTCTCACTGTGATTTTCATTGCAACCGCCTGGTCACATTTCTCATTGTCTCAGCTTACACTTGACATGCTCACAAGGCAACGGAACAGTTAAACACACAACCGGATGGGATAAATTGGATCTAGGTTATTTCTTTTCCGTTTGAGAATAATCTGACGTATTAATCATGCAGGAAACTTTTGACAAGGAGGTACGGAAAGAGAAAGCAAACGCTCAGCTGGACTGCAAAATATAATTAAACGTGCTGTAAATGACAGGTTAAGCAATCAGAGAGATCTCCAGAAAGCCAAAGCTTTGAAAATAAAGTCGACACAAATAGTGCCTTTGCTCCCACGTTGCTAAGAAGTCAGTGAGTCACAACACAGGCCTTATTAAATATATTCAGAATGGGGGAAATATTTACAGAGGTAATACTTTAACTGTGGAATGAGAAAAAGAAGCAGGAACACAGCGGGAGTTGTTGAGATGGAATCCTGCCTGTTAATTGATTTTTTCTGTATTTAAGATTTCAATGTAATCCATAAGTAACAAACTGTCCTAGCGCTCTATGTTCCTGTGTGAATCCATCATGTTACAGTGTCATTAGCTCTCGTTTACAAGTTTCACACAGCAGGGCTAATCTACAATATGGAAAGGTAGGGTGCTCACTACAGCTCCCCACACTACCTGAGCAGCACACTCACTGCATCCCCCCACACCTCCTATAACCCACACTACCTGAGCAGCACACTCAAAGCAGCTCCTCACACCTCCTATAACACACTACCTGAGCAGCACACTCACTGCATCCCCCCACACCTCCTATAACCCACACTACCTGAGCAGCACACTCAAAGCAGCTCCTCACACCTCCTATAACACACTACCTGAGCAGCACACTCACTGCATCCCCCCACACCTCCTATAACACACTACCTGAGCAGCACACTCACTGCAGCTCCTCACACCTCCTATAACACACTACCTGAGTAGCACACTCACTGCACCCCCACACCTCCTATAACCCACACTACCTGAGCAGCACACTCACTGCAGCTCCCCACACCTCCTATAACCCACACTACCTGAGCAGCACACTCACTGCAGCTCCCCACACCTCCTATAACCCACACTACCTGAGCAGCACACTCACTGCAGCCCCCACACCTCCTATAACCCACACTACCTGAGCAGCACACTCACTGCAGCTCCCCACACCTCCTATAACCCACACTACCTGAGCAGCACACTCACTGCAGCTCCCCACACCTCCTATAACACACACTACCTGAGCAGCACACTCACTGCAGCTCCCCACACCTCCTATAACCCACACTACCTGAGCAGCACACTCACTGCAGCTCCCACACCTCCTATAACCCACACTACCTGAGCAGCACCTCACTGCAGCTCCCCACACCTCCTATAACCACACTACCTGAGCAGCACACTCACTGCAGCTCCCCACACCTCCTATAACCCACACTACCTGAGCAGCACACTCACTGCAGCTCCCCACACCTCCTATAACTCCCTGAGCAGCACCCTCACTGCAGCTCCCCACACCTCCTATAACCCACACTACCTGAGCAGCACACTCACTGCAGCTCCCCACACCTCCTATAACCCACACTACCTGAGCAGCACACTCACTGCAGCTCCCCACACCTCCTATAACCCACACAAGCTATATTTTTTTATCGTACAAAGCACGTTTATCCAGATTGTTTTACAACTTATACAAAAATAACATTAGTGATTATGCACACAGAGGATAAATATTTAGACACGCTGAAACAAAAGGAGAAGAGGACCCTGCCTATGATCTTACAATCTGGAGGGGGATTGTACATTGAAACAAAAGATTGTGGGGAGGAATACACTTTTGAAGTAATAATTGCATCCATGAGTGTGCCAATATAAGGAGTATTTTATTACAACCTTTATACCGTACACAGCGAGTGTGATGGAGATGAAATGTAGAAGCATTGCTTTTCAGTCACTATGCTTTGAAAGTGGAGATAGTAGAAATAACAATTAAGGGAAGGTGGTGTTGAAGAAAAATGTGTTTATTGTCGATGAGATTGACCCAGTTGGGTCATATATCCCGAAATCCATTTGTACTTTTATTGAAGAGTTGCACCAGTGGGACAGAAAGAAGTTGTGCCCGCACTGCTGGGGATCAGGGAATAACTGGAGAATAATAAAATTAGATATGTTGAGCTGTGAGGGACGAGTGAGGGTTTGGGTTAGGAAGTGTCCAGGAAGGCCAGCGAAGGGGTTGACATTTTGAAGTTTGTGTAAAGATAAGAGAGAGCTGTCAGATTAGATGTGGGTAGGGCGCTTGTTCCAGTGGTAGGGCATTAAGAGAGAAAATGAGCAGAAAAGTGAAGTGGCACATTGGAATAGGTGGGGTAAGAAAGATGGAGTTGAGGGTGTGGAGAAGATAGTTTGGAGAGCAATATAGCAGTAGATGAGTGAGGAGAAGTATGTTGGAGTAAGGATCAACATAGAATCTACAAGTTTTGCATTTCTTACTAAAAGTCTAACTTCCTAGTATCTACAATCAACCAATGTATATGGTAGCACAACATGTATAACTATTTGTTTATATTTTAGTTATATTTTAGTTATGTAACCTTACCTTACTGTATTGTGTTTCTCGTACCTCCCACTGCATATCATACTTGAAAGTGAGAGACATCTCAAAGTAGTTCTGCAGGACAAACACTTTTCAAATAAACAAATTATGCACAGTATATTTCTCAGATGTGATGGCAAGTGTTGTGGTTATAAAGACAACCCTTGGTTTGAGAGTACAAGAATAGCACAGGGGTAGGCAACCTTCGACACTCAAATTTTGTGGACAACATCTCGACTACATCTGGAAAGCTCTGGCAGCTGAGCCAATGGTCAGCTGATGCTCTAAGCCAATCAGAAACTCCCCATTTTTTTTAAAACAAAAAGGTAGATGATTTTGATTTATTTTCATTTTAGGAGTTAAATCACTGTATTTATGCAGCCAAATCACATCTCCCCTACATATGGCCAATACAGTCTTCCTACACATTTCCAGTGAAGAGAACTCTAATGTTTAGACTTCATTTATTGCACGATGTGTTTAATTTAGAATTTTTAATCTCCTGCTCTTTTAATAACCTGCTGGGGTATTCAAGAGCCTCCTGTGTGTGATTAAAATTTGATTAACAGAACAGGAGATAGGAACTACTAAATAAAAATGCTGCGCTGTCAGATCTGATTGAACATTAACCAACTGTTTTCATGCTGCCTGTCTGAGTCAGAGCCAGGGGAGATGTGGCTAGGGCTACATAAACAGAAATAAAGGGCCCAGCAGACTGCAAGAGCACATTACAGCATTTCCCTCTCTCTAACTCCCGCAAGCGTGGTCTGCGTGCCGCGCAGAGCGTTGCCATGGTAACCCGTGGCAACGCTCTGACGGCCGCGGGTCTCACGGGAGTTAGAGAGAGGCAAATGCTGTAATGTGCTCCTGCAGTCTGCTGGGCCCCCTCTGCAAGCATAGGGAGCCGGGGACCTGCGGCTGCACATATATATAGCGATCATCGCTATATATATGTGCAGAGAGGGAATGTGGGGCCCAGGACTGCCAAAGTAGTCCGGGCCCCCCAGGACCGCCGGGCCCATGACATCCGTCATGGTTGTCACCCCCTGATGGCGGCCCTGAGGAGGCAGACTAGCCAAGTAGAGATTGGAACCCCAAACTGCACAAACCAGTTGGGGATATTCAATGTTCTAATGATATGTCAAAACAACATAGAGTAAATAATGGTAATAGAGCCCCTCATTTGCTACGTTAGCCAATCTCCATGCTGACCAGGTGACCTATCTGTGACCAAACCTAGAGTTGATTGAAAACAGGAGTTCACATCATGTGGATCTCTTACCAGAAACATCTGCTCCAGCTCCTTAAATGAAAACAAGAAAAAAACAAAATGTGAATATAAAATTATTGTGGAAAATCTGCATCCTCTGAAATGTTAAAGCTAGCTCGAGGAAATACAGAGTTTTAGCTCGATCTGCAAATTGTTCCAGTTTATCAGTTTGGTGCTAGAACACACATTGTTTGAAAATAATAGATTAAAGGCTTGTGGAGATTTGCTGTTCGTTGATGAATTTTGGTGTGTTTACACTTTATATCACAGCATGCACTGGAAATGTCATGAGAAATACTTATTCTCTGCACCAATGACTCTGCGTTACACTGCAACGAATCTTATCATTTACTGAAAAAAAACAACAACAAATAATTGTGTTATACATACGAAAGAAATATTACTAACACGGCAGAATATTAATACAACAAACAAACAAAAAATCTCAATGTAAATAGGTCTACCAGACCATTAATTGCATTCCAAAACAATTTTCAGTCACAAATAGCCAATGATACTTGCAATGTTGCCGAAGAACATGGTCTCTAAGCCTAAATCTCTCAGGCAGGTTAAAAAAGGGCTAACAGACATCACGTTCTTTAATATACATGAGTACATGCGTTGGACTGCTAAAATGAATACTTAATTAGTATTACACATACGTAAATGACTGTTAAGAATCCAAGGTAAATTTCAAATTTAAGCCAAAATAACTCAAATGTAAACATAGCTAACTTGGAGCATTTCACCATTTCAGCTTTATCTTAGTAAACGACCAACTCCCCTCGAACGACTTTTGAGAGTTCTTACACAGACACTACAGGCTTACCATACAGTGTGTATCCAGAAAATAAATAACATTTAAACTTTACTTAAAGGGTTTCTCCAGCCACCATGACCACTTCTGGTTCTAGAGGTGGTCATGGCGGCAGTAATCTGTATTTGCATCGTTTCAGCTTGACACATTGAAGATATGAAGAAAATTAGTTGCACCAGCTGCTCATGTGATGTATGGCAGCCTTAAAGTCTGCCCCGGGCTGCCTAATGTGAATTC